GAAAAAGTCTCTCTCTTCGACTGTATGGTTTATCAAAGACTTGATTTACCGTAGAAGGATTTTATCTGACAATATAAAAATACTTGAAAGGCAGAACTACTGTTCTCGAAAAGGGCTTAGTTTTAAGATTAATTATTTTGTATTAGAGACAAGATATGTTTACATACATCAAATTAGTCGATGAGTTACGATAGTGAGATAGTAAATAGGTAACAGATCTATAATATTTGACTAAATAAGACTCATAAATTATCTAGAATACCAACTAAGTTCTTTAGATCTCGTACCAAAATAAAGTTTTCACAACGATGCTTCTATCCATCATGTTTTCCTGTGAAGAGCTCTCAACCGATACACTTATTGTGCTAAATCCAGCATTTCATCCATAAGTTTGTTAGCCGTTTATTTTTTATTAATTAATTTCCTTGATAATTATTTAACAACTTGGTATGCGGGATATAATCCAAAGACTGTTTAATTTTAGGCCGGTTTTTTATTACTAATTTCAAATAAATTTTCATCCGGTTATTCAGTATAATATTTCTCTTTTTATACACTAAATGTTGCACTTCAGCATTCCATAAGGTTCATGCATTGCATTTTCCTGTTATTTTTATTACATCTCACAATATAAGCCATCCTATTTCGTAATTTTATTTTCTCTACTGCTTTTCAAAACACTATAATTCTTTACTTTACTTAGAACCTCTTAAAATCTACAGTGAATAGGAACTGTTTATATTTATACCTGAAACAGGTGACCAGATTATTTTTATTTTGGATGTAATTATTATGTATACTTCCAAAACATAAGTGTGTAGGCAAAAACAAATTGTTTGCCAATTGAAGTTTTGACCTTATATTCATTATACCAATAACCTTTTCAAAACACACAAAAAGCATTATATACATGCTTTTAGAAAAAACGTAACATTATCCTTTCAGTTTATGCAAAAATATCAAAATACTCCATATCTGAGAAACTATTTAGTTCTGGAAGATGAAGTTTCTATCTAAAATAACATATCTTGTTAAGACTGATAATACCTACAATAAAATCTAAACAATATTTTAACTAGTTTATATACAAGATATTTAGCTCAGTTTCCTTTTCTTCGCTCGATGTTAAATGAACAAAGTTTATTTTAGCATGGTTAAGGTTTTTCACTGAGTAGTAGTGAGAGCATACAACCACACCTAGAAACGATTAATGTCGCTACAATAACCATCATGTCTTGATTCTCAAAACTGGTTACTGTCTTAAACACTGATTTACGTATGTTTTTAGGAGACCAATAAGATTCCCGATGAGTTATTAATTCCTAAAACTGTTCAATAAAATCTGAAGGGTAGTAAGTTTCTTAGTAATGTTTATGGGTTGTTAGCCGTCATTAACCTTAAAATTCTTCACAATAATCGAGATCGTCTTATCTTATTAGTACGTCTGAATTAGAATAAAACGCGAACACCGTTGTCTCACTTAATTTACTTCAACTTCGTTTAGGTCTTCCAAAAAATTATTAAAGTTTTGAGGCTCAAATAGATCAAGAACAATAAACATATCAACATTCAAGAAACATTGTACAATTTTCAATCAAATATCAAACTATTTAAATACCTTCACTTTTCGATACCAAGTACTTTATATTGCTAATCTTATTTTATACTACCCAACAATAAGTTAATTCATCAAGTTTAATTCTTCCAGTAAAATTTAGAACATAAATTTCCACAGTAAAATGTACTTAAAAGAAGTAAAATTTCTTCAGACTTATGTAAAGCCTACTAGATATTTGATTGAAATGACAAATTAGCCCACGTATAATTTTATTTGTACATTTGAAAATACGAAGCATTTTCATTTATTAAATTATTATTTAATAAAAAAGTGGCATTTATCTGTCAATATTTATCACAGTTATCCATACTGTCCAACCCTACAAACATTTTCTTAACAGCCTGATATTTATATTAATCCGTTTAAATAAACAAACATCTATTTTAGGATTTAATTATGAAAGATAAGAGAAGAAACTATTGTCTATTCATTTTAAAAGACAAAATGCAAAACTTAAAAATAATACACAGTAAATAAAATATTTATGTTTGATAAAAACAAAAGTTATTTCTAGCAGTGGAAACCAGGACACTCTGGGTTGGAGTCCCAGAGTGAACATCAACTCTCAAGAAGATACAAGCAAAACAATACCAAGTGACTTTATAAGTTATAATGGGAATTTTCAGCGATTAAAGTTATTTCTATTTAATAAAACAATGTAGTGAGAAGTATGGAAAAATTCTAGTATGACATTTTAGTTTTTAATTTAATTTCCCTGTTATAAACCTATGATATAGCTACTAAAATATTTCACTAAAGTTATTTAGTGCTTAATTTCAACTAAAATAACAACAACAAAAATGATGTCACTTCAGAAAAAAAGAGAACGCCATTTTGATTGAATGTTAATTAAATCGTTCAGAATTGTACAAATTTCATTTCTAGCTACCTTCTTGAAAGTGAAACAAAGAAAAATTTCATTGAATCAAACATGTGTATTCTGAAAAGTTATCTTTAGTTAAATAATCATAAACATTTTTATTGCAAGTCCCTCATAATGTAGAATTAACAATTGTAGTCATTGTATTTATTCATGTAACATATGAATATATGAATCAAAATGGAAATGAATTCATTGGTCCTATACACTTTGTCTTTTTAATGTATTAAAGTATATTACAAATTTCTGGTTCCAAGTAAAAACGGTAATACTTGGCAATATTATTATGGTTACTATTTTGTAGCAAAATATTATTATGCCAACTACATAACATACATCTAAACCAGTATTTATTATCAGCTAACAGTGTAAATGAACAAAAGAATGAAAATTCTTAGACAAAATATTGTGAAACAATTTCGGTAACAAAGCATCTCGATTAAGTAAATGATCATCCTTTTCTAATTTGCGTCTATCATATCAACATGCTTCAGTTGTTATGATTTCATCAATAAACAGTATAAAAACACTAATTAAAACAGATCCATTCATATATAAAAACTGTATGAATTTGTTTGATAATGCTTGAAAATTAGAAACAATGAACGCATTGAGAAAATTATTGCATCCGATCAATGTCTCTTACCTTTCTGACCCATTTTTGCAAAAAGTCAACCTAAACTACTTAAAAGTGTATGACTTTTTATTTCCCAGACCTGTAATTAAAGAGTAACATGTGAAATGGGTATAAAACATCCGATGCTTTGCTATCACCCTAGATTTTAGACAATTACCCCAATCTAAATGGAAATCTTTCATACTTTAACTCTTACATTCAACAGTTTTCAGTTTAAAAATATTTAAATACCCCATGCGTTTGATCACTATATTGTTACTATTTTTCACCTCAATGTTTAAAACTACACTTGTCAATGAGGACCACGTTGTAACTATTCGTATTGTTTAAACGGTCTGTTGTTTAAATATGTAACGAAGGAAATCATAAAAATCTTTTTTGAGTGCAAAGGTTTACAACTATCCACGATATTTTATCCTTATTGTCAACAATTTTCTTGGTAATACTGGCTATATTATTCCCTCAGTTCATTTCCTCCAAACAAGTTCAGCATATTTAAACCTGTAACATTTAAAATAATTTTTAAGCGAAAATAGTTGGTGGCTAGCACATGCGTTTCTTCCTAATTGGGATTTTCCAGATGAATGCATTTGCATCTCAGAGTTGTACACACCATCCATCTCTGCTTAAAAATGAGTTAAACTTAATGGCAATATGGAGATAATCTGCGCAGGATGCAAATATGGCAAAAGAGACTGACCAATTACAGTCCTAACGGTAGTGGGAAGATTCAAAGAAAGTTAAAAGAATTAATTTCAAGCTTCATTACTGAAGTAAAATAATGAGTGGATGTTAATTTTGAGATAAATGTGTTAAAATAAATAATATGTTTCTATGTGTATATATGATAATAAATTAGTTAAAACTTGACCGTTATAATGAAAGAGTATAAAATATGTCATATGATACTACATGTTTCTTGATTACTGGTGAATGAAATCAAATCAAATCCATAAGGTTTTAAATAAGCCCGCCCATGTTTTAGAACAAAATACACAAATACATATAACAAGTGACTAAAACATGATTTTATTATACATCTTAAAGAATTACGGATTATTAACCGGTATAAACTATCATTTTTTACACTATTAAAGTTGTTTTCATATGGAGGATAAGAACGTAAACAGTGACATAAACATTTTTTTCAGATTCTTTTTAGGACCTTTTCCTATTTATTGTTATGCCCAGTCACATACAATCAGATAAAAATTACGCTGCCTTAAAAAAGGATAGAGATTGTACCTTTATACGTTAGTAGTGACGCTTCTCGGGATCTCAGCTGTCTGATCAAGATGTGTGACATTATTTTACAGATTGAAAAGTATTAGGTAAAGAGGCTTTGAATATGTGGCTTAGTGTCTAAAAGTCAACCATTCATCCAATTATAAAGAGTTTTAACGAAGACGAAATTTTTAAATTATTAACAAATTACCAAACCGAGAATTCTAGATCGATCAATTAAATGCATGTGGTCACAATAATTACATTCTCTTAGTTCAAAGGATTCAGGTGTACATTTTACAACCCAGATTAAAAATCTAAATAGCTAGTATACTTTCTGAATATAATTATATCCACAATTACAACAATAATTATCAAGACGTTCATTCGATGATGGATAGTGGCTAGCAGTGGAATACAGGATGCATGTTTCGTCCTATTTTGAACTCGTCAGCTAGATGTACATACATATGCCAATAGCAGACTGATCAATCGCAGTCTTAAACCTCAATCGGAAGTAAAAGTAAAACAATGCCAAGTGAGTTTATTCGATGAATTACTGAAAAATTATAAAACAAACCTACAATATTCATATATGATAAATAAATAAAAGTTCTGAATATTGTTTAAATAACACTTACAAGTTAACAATATAACAATAAACTGAGCCAGAAAAACTCCAAAAAACAAACCAAAAAGGAATAAACCACGTGGATTATACTGAAAGAAAAAAAAGAAGGAAAAACAAAAAAATCAATAAAAAAACAGGATGATCAAAAAAGACAACGAAAAAACAAACTATTGTTACAAATAGGACAATGAAAAAAATGATGAAATAGAAAAATATTTCCCCAGTTTGTTTTCTGTGTTTATTTTCTTCTTCAGTAGATACACAAGTATGAAAGATTGAAAAAGCACAATGAATAGCGCATAGTTCTTGGATCGAAAAAAGATAATTAGATAACATACAAATACGAGAACCAATGAACAAGAACATTAGATAAAATAACTAAAATTAATGACTATTGACTAAATCCCATGGCTAATATAATACCGCAATATTTATAGTATGGGGAGATAGCTATTTTTTTCTGCACCGAATATATATATATATATATATATATATCGATGATACTTTCCTAATTTATGACAATATCAAGTATTTATAACAATATATATGGTATTATCTAAATGATAGTAAGATACATTTCAATTAGTTCATCTGAGTGAGAAAAATGCATTGTAATAAATTTCTTCCTGCACAAAAAGATTCAAGAAAAACTGCCAGAAGATTCGTTCATGTTATTCCGGAAGTTCCTTTGATGATAAATAAAGATAACACGATGTATTATTTAAGAGTAGGTATCATTACCAAGGTTTGGCTTGATAATTTTAATAAATTGAGCACTGGGTAGAATGCTATAAATAAAATAATATCTTCGTAATATCCCAATGAGTAAAATAATTAGATTTTTTTATTTAAAAGCGTTTAATGTGGGAATAAGACGAATTTCTAACATTTTCATTGAACCGACCCAAATTGTTTAAATTGTATGTCTTGAAAAACTGAAAACGTTCGATTTTCTTCTTTTAGTCTCTATATTGTCAAACTTTCGTGGCTGTACACCAATATAATTTATTGTCAATATGTGTACTTGGCGGCAAACAGATATCATAAGAATGACAAAACATTGTTTCTTTTAAAATTTGGCGAAACCAACTGAAAGTAATATCACATACCCTATACATGTGATCAAATTTACCGAATTAAAATCTTGAGCAAAATCAAAATGCCAAAACATTTTCTAAAATTCACGTTTCTTCCATGTTATCATCACTTATTGAGGTAATATGCTTATGTTCCTAGAGATACATTTCGTTTTATGAAACATTTATAATGTATTCTAATTTCATCCTATTTTTCCAGCCTCATTTGTTCATCTTAACATTTGTTTACTTTTGTAGAATTAGTATTACTATGTTATTTCGAACTGTGAAGACTCAAACTGATAAATTTTCGCGTAGTGCTTTAAGTTTTACATTGTTGTTTTAGTTCCTGGTTCAAATGAGTTTCGAAGTAATACGAGAGTTTAGCAATTTGTGAGTTTTAAAAAAAGGAAGGAAATGAGAAGTCCTTCTTTGCTATTGTTATTGTTGCCGTTGAAGAAAAAGAAACGGAAATCAGCCAACAGCTCTAAATTAATAATTTTTAAAAAGATCTTGTGAAGAAATATCATTAACGTAGCCTGTGATTAAGATAAATCAAATAACCAAATGACACGAATAATATGGAATTTCCTGGCTGCCGTAAAAAGCGTTGAGGCATTTAGTGATAGATACTACTTGTTTTGGAAGTCTTAAAAATTCTGTATTTAGTAGTATTCAGACAGAAGTTGTTATCGATTAATATAGAATTACTATAAGCAACTTGTATTATGAATTAAAACATAACTGCCGCCTAGTAGATTTTCTCAGAAGTTGGTTTCAGAGAAAAAAATGAAATATTCGTTTTCCAACTGAAATTACGTATTGGGTTTAGTGGATATGTGAAGGTCTCTTCTTGAGAAGGATAAAAAACTGACAGAGCTCTGCTCAAATGCTAAAAAAATACATAAAAACAAGATGATCAGAAGATTTTGTTCTTACCTTTTCGGAAAGTGGAGGCACTCGCAGCCGTTTCATGGCTTTTTGTCTATCACCTTGTTCTAGTTTCTCCGTAAATATATTCTAAGTTAACGCGGTAAAAAGAATGAATTTTCAAAAGTACGATACTGTGACAAAGAAAGATATTGAAATGTGGTGTATTCATTTCAGAACCTATTAAAAATTACCATCATTAGCGTTGAAAATGCCCACACATTTGTTAAGATTCAGTAGATTATACGCTGTGGATAAAACTAGGAACTACCAACATACGGATTGATTGGAAATGGAATCGCGATCATAGCTTATGAGCGATGCCCTACAAAGGTGCTTATATTTATTTCACTAACCGCTATTAGAAGACGTAGAAGAGTATAAAGAGATCGCATCATAAGGTTATCCGTGATTTCAAATATCGTGAGCCGCCGAAAGCGAACACTCTTTAAACGCATTTCAAAACGCTATCCAGCACGGTTTTATAAGAGGAATTCAAAACAGCCAGTAGCTTGATACATAAGTACTTCATCAACTCTGGGCACACACCCCTAAATAGGTCATCTTTCAAAACAATCTACGCGGTCATAATAACGGGGTCGAAAGGAGGTTTAACTATATGTTCGTGCCCTATAGAGGCATTGGAAATCCACCAATGCAAGCCTGAAATCTGATCGCAAAACTAAGATCAGCAAAATCTTATCTCTTCATGGTTCGAATCCACTTCCCTAATATTTTTAGTTTTTTTTCTGTCATTATCATTATTCTATACCTTTTAAACGATAACAAGCGATTACTATCCCCGACAATTTTTCACCAGTATTATTCAATAGTTACTATACCTGTTTAAAGGAAGTCATTTCTCACATTTCTGACCAGCAAACAAATATGCGCTTTAAAACTTGTCGTTCATGTTGGCTCACTGTCATGAACACAATAAGCACTACAAATATAACCCTAATTACATTAATAACACTATCGATGAATGACTTCAGCTGATAAATACCAATAAATAAGAAATATGTCAAAATTATCATATCATTATTTGTCCTGATATTCTGTACTACTTAGCTTATGTTAAAGCAGAACATACAAATAGCCACTAACAGAAAATGCCAGTCAACATTACTCTCCTACTTTCATTTAACAACAGGTGACGAAACACCAACGTCCTCTCACGAAAGAACAGATCACGGCCAGTTCCTATTTTCAGCATGCTTAGGTACTAAACTCGCTCTTTTCCCATCTTATTATATAGGTTTGTCGGATAACTACCCAGTTAGAAACAAAACATATCATGAATCTTCATTACTCACCTCAACCTCTGTGATAAGGTCATCAACCTCCCTACTAGTATTAAAGTGTGCACACTCAACCACCTGTTGCCGCCAAAGTAGTCCTGTGTTCCGGCGGAGAAGCTACAAATAAAAGACATTGGAGTTATGTTCTCCCATCAAAAAGATTAGATGATTACTGAGCGATATCCAAAAGTGTTTACCAAAGTTTAAAATGCTTAACACATTTTATGAAACAGAGATTAATTTAGCTAAATACTACAGAATAAATTTAGCCTAAATCTCATTGCATATCAACATATACTTAAAACAGAACCAAAAGTTATATGGTGACTAATTTCAGAGAGTCAAATGATTAAACCACTAAACGATAGACCTTGTTAACTGTGATTAAGCACAACTCTACTAATACGGTTTACTATGAACCCAGAAACATTTGAACAAGAACTATCAGTTAAATTTGGAAACTAAATCAGCCACATTAATATTCCTGAGTATCACAATAGACGAAAGGTGATTAGAAACTAGTGGTGTTACATAATTATTCATGACCATAATAAAATAGACATAAACAACTAGCAACAGACGTGGAACAACAAATCCGCGGAAATAAGTTGGATTTCAGGTCTGGCGGGAATATATATTAGGTGGAGTTTTGTCATTTACTGCCCTTCGAAAGAACATTACTTCTTTTGCACCCGTATGTCTATTTTCCTCAGACACAAGGCGACATTAGATTTTTCCAGGCATGTTGTATAGAACCGTATAAATTTAAAAGTGCAAGTAAAATAAACTGTGTTGCTAACGGCACGCTCTTTGAAGTCATGTGAAAAATTCACCTCCAATGTCAGCATTAATGATGATGTCTATTAAGAATGTCTTTCATAACTTTCATGGATATACTGACATCAAACCGCATCATTATAAGATTGGTTTTTTTCCTAGGAACCCCTATAATAGATTTGTGACACTTGAGTGACACAGCTTGGTAGATAAATACTCAAAATTGATCCAAAGTAATTTAAGCAACCTAAATACATGTTTTGTATCTTCTAGAATTGAAGAAAAGCTCTTAAACTGGTTTAAATAGGTATCTAGTCTAAAAATATGGGCATTTCATCTATATTGACTTACTTGGTCATAAATATGTCAGCTAAAGAGACTTAAGAACAATCAAAGAAAGCTCTTACTCTTTTTATTGGACTAATTCACTAATAGAACTAGTAAGACATCAGGATATTTTATTGAAGATAGGCAAAACCTTTAATGAATTGCTTTTACTGCAATGCAGTCATAACATAACCATAAGTGATGATGAGTATGAGCAGATCACAGGCTTTTGTTGATGAATATCACAATGATTAAAGTAGTGAGTAAGCAATAAAATTAAGGACGAATTTCTAGATACTGAGGACAACTCATTCAAAGGTTTGCGGACCGGTGAAGGTAGCTAAGTCAAGTGCATTTACTACAAGTTATCGTTGACATTGATGTACAGTGATAACTCATATAAGACTAAGAAAAAATAACTTTGAAGGTAACCGAGAAAAATTGTGGGACCAGATTAGAAAATTAGTGACGAATCGAGTCGTGTACAAAAGTATGGACATTTTTGGTACGGTCACAGATACAACAAACGCTGGCGTCTATAGATATTAAGTGACATGTGTAGCAGCGCATGTATGATAACAACTATGAGATCACCAGAAATTGATTTTCTTGTCACCAAATAGAGAATAATTGTTTGCTAACATTCACACACTTGAAGTAATGGTCAAAGCTTTCGTACAACTTGTTCATTTGACCATAGCATTTACGACCTACACTTCCCTTGGTAATTAAAAGTAAAAAAACCAATATGACAAGATTCGCCCTACAATTACATGGACGTAAGTGAGCAAATCAATTCATATAGAATATGAGTCTGAATGTTTAAGACGAAATGCTTCAAATGGTTTTCATAATGTCAAACTGTCATTGCTGAAAAAAAGTGACTTGATAAAGAAGGATAAAAAACGAAAACAACCACAAGCCTTTCTTACCTTGTCATGCTTTTTCAATATTTTTCTGAATCCAGTGAAATTAAGGGATTGATAATTTTGCAGTAAAACAAGACTTAGATAAAATTCACTGAAAGCTAGCTTCAAATCATGTAACTTTCTAAAGGTCTTCTTTCTTCTGTCCAATCTTTGGGCATCATATTTCGGATTTTCAGACTGTTTTGAACGGCTCTGACGGCGACGCAACTCCGAGTTTTCTTCAGACTGTATTTTGCTGATTTTATTCCAAATCGGTGTGTTAGTTGAACCATTTTCCCTTACAGACACCCTACACTTATCACCTTCTCTTCCGAATGATTCTGTTAGTCTTCTGGAAAGCGAGACTTTAGAACCTGTAATCCAACTGATAGATTTATGATGAGTAGATTCGATGTAGTTATCAAGTTCATCTACTAAAGTGGTGAACTTTCGATTAGCTTCAGCAATCTTCTCTAAATTCAGCCGTCAATAAGCGATTTCAGTCTCACCAGAAAAAAACACCTCAATCTTCCTCAAGGCACTTTCACATAGGTTAAAAAATTCTTCGTCACATTCATCCAAAATGCTTTGGTCTCTTCCTCAGAGAAAACTATGTTGTAAGTGATGTATACAAAAAACTAACTTACACGGAAGAGTTTCCAAAACTTGTGTATATTTATAAAGGTGTTCCTTCAATTCCTGAAGACATCAAAATCTATTTATCGGAATTTACATCGTAATCTATGTACTGAGTCCTCCATTCTGGAGTGAGATGAGCATTCAGTCTCTCAGCGAACTTCATTTAAGGCTAAAATAATGGATCCGACATATACTTATCGGGAGAAAACTAAGGTGACACAATGTATCCACAACTAACAGAAACATATATCACGATATCATATCACTTGATATAAGCGGTAAACGTCCTAATTGAATGAACTCTAAAATTTTGCAACAAGTTTTATAACATTTTTCACTGTAAAGTATAATTGGAAAAATTGTTCGTTTTTAATTTATTGTATTTTTGTTTGATCTGATTGTTATTTGTGCAATTTCAAACTTGGTGCTCTACACTTCAAAGGGGTCATCAGCAGTACTGTCGATTATCAAGGTCAATAAGGCAGTACTCTTATAAGAGTCATGGAATCCATCAGCGACGAAGCAGTGTTGAATATTATGGAAAACTCTCCTGATAAGTATTTTTGCACACTCTGTTCTCCTGTCTACCTTGTTTCCTCAAATGAATCACATGGGTTGGAAATGCATATCAGATCTACTCATCCCGAAACAAAAAATCTTCGTTGTATTTATTGCTCTGAGTTGGTCTCATCAGTATCAATTTCAAAACACATTGACATGCATTTTGGTCTAGTGGATACCCAGAACCTTCCTTTTACCTGTCCATGTTGTCCTAGATCGTTCGGTACTATGAAAGCACTGGGTCAACACGCTCTAAGTCTCCATGATATCGATAAAAGCGATGTGTTTTTCAAATGTGGTCATTGTGATAGATCAATGAACTCACCTACGGAGTTAAAATCACATCTCCGGAAATATACACTCATTCTGTTTCACTGTCGTTTCCCTAACTGTCGTGTCAAATCAAAGAATGTGGAAATAATAAAAAAACACGCGCTTCAGTTTCACGGAACTAACAGTCCTCTTGTGACTACAACTTATTCGGTATGTTGCCATTATTACCTCTAGTATCTATTTTAGTTTATGTGTTCTTGGCCTTCATCTGTACGACCAACACGCATTCAATCCCATCCACCCGACATTTCGAAATTAAGCCGCCGAGTTCCATCAGCATTTTTCTGTGCCCATTGTTCATTTGGTACATCTCACCTAGAAAACTTTGCTCAACATTTGGCAATGTGCCGAGCTATTTCTCATTTGCTCATAACTTCTCTGTCCGTCACCTGTGTCCTCCATCGTTGTTCAGAATGCGGTTGGATGACCAATGTTCGTAATATGCTAACAGAACACTTGCATGATATGCATCCCTTGCTTAGTGAGGTTAGTTTTTGTACACAAATTTAACCGTCAAAAGTCAGTTATTTCCACTTTACCAGTTATGAACTTTGAGCTCTTGTTTATAATTAACTTTACAAATACAAATGAGTATAGCAAGTCAGAGCTGATATACTCCTTCAGTTTGAGATTCTGGATTAATAGGATCAGAGTGTTAATCCCTCCATATCGTAAATTTCAGAGTACTTGTAAACAAATTTAAAGCTTCTGTAATTACTAACCAATACCAATAGCGTAAAATGGATAATTAACTAAGTCCTCTAGGAGCTTTAACTTCCAACTACTGCATTGGTTTCCAAATAGGATGTTGTAAATATGACAAATTCAGGTGGACTTAGACGCGTTTTACCGGTTTAACGAATATGAGTGCATGCACCCTTTTTGACCTATATTGTTTATTAAACATTCAGTGTCCAAGTCAAAAACAAATTGAATGGGTTCCCAACCCACTAGTTAAACTAGTGCTTCGTCTACTAAGCATTTTCCTCAATCTGACCAATTGTACTCGTTTTTACAAAAGTTATGTTGAAACCTGTGCTTTACTTGGTCGATAAATTACGCCATTATAAATGTTTATTACAATTCACGGGATATGCACTTTTAAAGTTTCCGTCCTGTTATTTCATCGTAAGACCTGCAAGCTCACTGAATATATTTATAAAGTCTCTAGATGCTTTATATATGCTTCATATTCTTTCTTAAATCACACCATCTAACTTGATCTTCCTAGTACCTCACTCATCAATGTGGCGTACTCACATTATCAAGTTTTATTTTATGAAGATGCTGTTAAGATTCAGATCATTATGAACGCTTTCGCCAACAATACATACATATTTGTAATGAGTTCCCCTCCCTTAAGTGCGTCAGGACCACTCTACATCAACGTTTTAATTAATGATCACAAGTGAAGTAGTTAAGTGCACCAACCGACCCACTTATTTTCGATATCTCACTAGCCTTAGTGGTTTGGTGTCTGACGAAATCTTGAGACCGTTTCAGAAAAGTCTCGTAGATTCTAGCAGCATACGTCACTTGTGTTGGCAAACCAAGGGACAAGTGCAATAAACAGCAATCCACTTCACATAGCAATATATGCTTCGAATGTATTCTTAGTTTCGGTCCCTAGTCAATACTCTCCACATTTTTACATCTTACGAATGACATTATATTCCATTGTTTTTATTGACATTTATTTGCAGGAGGACGGAGTGGTCACTGAAGACTTTACAGTTCCTATATCTGATGAATCTATTACTGAAAACTATAATTTTATTAGCAAAAATATGGAAACCCTACGCAATTCTCCACTTCAACAACTACCAAATTTTTTCTCCTCTGGAAATTCAACTTTGCTCCATATAAACGACGGAACCAATTTACACAACGATCTCCCGTTACTTTGTTCAACCGCCTCCAATCTTTCAGCTGAAGTTACGAAACATTTATCAAGTATTCATGCCCCATCATCTATTGATAGTTGTGAAGCTGATGAAGTTGGAGATAATGAAGAGCATGTCGGTGTTGAAGGTGATAATGATGAACTAAAAAAGCCAAGCACAGACATGAATCTCAACAATAGGCCTATCACCTCTAACCTACCTCCTGATGTAGCAGATTCTAAACAGGAAAGTGTCACTGAGACGGCTGCAGAAGAATATGTTCAACTATACTTTAATGAACAAGCATTTGTTACTGCTTATATGAAAAATGAGAAATTTAATCCTAATAACGATACTACAAATGATGAGCTAAACGGTGTCCTGGAAAAGTTGCGTCGTTTCGCTAGTTATCGTGTCCCAATTCTTGGTCGCGCGAATCAGCGTCGTGTTGCTGGTTGTCCGGAATGCTTGAAACCATTTAATCATGGATTCACAGACCTCAAGAAACATCTTCTAGTAACTCATCTTGGCGTTCGCCGTGATATATCACGTTTTACCATTGATTTCACTCATTCTGGTAGGAGCCATCATAGCACACTACCTAGTCAAACTAATAACTCACTTATTAATTCTGACAATTCACCGCAGTCAAAACACTCTTTCGGAATTCGAAATGGACGTCTCTCTGGTAAAGCGTTCCGTCGTAAGCCTTTTCCAATTTCACCACTCTCCAATCCTCTTTGTAAACGTCCGACGCCTGGTAAGTACGAAGACTCTCGGAAGTCACCAACAGAACCACTGGCTACTGTTTCTTCTGATGGTCTTCCAGCCCTAGTAACGTCTGGTTCTTCCTATTCAGGTGGTGCCCCAGTTCACCGCGTTATCCCAGGGACTGGTGTTTCCGATCATTATGAAGACATGCGGTCATTGGAAGAAGTTTCTGCTCAAGCTCCTATCGGTAGAGGCGGTATTGTTCCTCTGGACGAAATGGGTAATCCAATCGTTGCTGCTGTTGTTGCTGCGGGTCAACCCCAAACGTCCACCTATTCAGGTGGTACAGAAATCTTTCTTCCTAAAGTTGGACGTCAGCGCGTTCAGTTGGCGTATTCATTCCCAGTATTTAATCGTTTACTGGAAGCTTATCAAGTCCCGATGCCAGAACGAATTCAACTTGTCAATCGTATGAACCACTATGCTCGAATGCATGTCATAATGGATGTTCTGGTTCCTGGGGGAGCACAAAAACGTTTTTCTTGTCCGACTTGCATGTATACTTCAGTACACTCGTTAGCCGATATTCGTAAACATATTATGGGGTCTCACTGTGGTATTTCTACTAAGCGTTTCAGACTCTGTCTTCGGGCTTCTAGACATGATACCACAACGTATCGCTTGCATTCAGATGACAGGATGATTCGATTCGTTGAAGATCATAGGCGAAGACAAATACAACTAACCGATGCAAGATCAAACCTTAAAGTCACTTCGATTGATAGTGATGCCGAAGAAGCAAAGGAGGACTCAAATGAAGCTTATTCCCAAGTAGTGAATGATGAAAATAATCAATTCTCAAATGATTTTACCAAGTCTCAGGTATCACTCAATGATCAAGAAGAACTAGAAACACAAACTATCGAGACAGATTTGTACGACGATAGTCATCAGGAAGGGGTTCACGGCGCTGACGAAGAGAGTGATAATCGTTTTCTCACTGCCAACGTAAATCTAAACTCCGAGGACTATTTCGTCACTCCAACCAAAACTCATGATAACTCTATTATAGTTGCTAATGATACTCCTAATACGTATTCGGATGAAAATGTTAAACAAAACGAGGAGATCCACCGTCGTATTGAATTACCTTTCTCTGATAATGTACTGCGCGTCTTGCTGGAGCGAGAGGGTATGTTTGATCAATACGATGATTTGGTAGTCAAGATGCAAGTCTACTCTAAGCACCATCTTACTGTTGTCTCACGAGGAAATCGAATTTACTCGTACATTTGCATATGTGGACGTCGTTTTGCGGTGAGTCCTTTATTTATAATTTGGCTTTTTTTCTATTTTCATATATTAGCGTAAATTGTTGGTCTATCTGTCGTAATGGTTTTTTGTTTATCTACAATTCCTAGTGTAAAGGTTTGTCTTCGGAAAATTTGTTCTAGTGCTAGCAGTGTTAATTGATTTGCATCATCGCTGATTTCTTTTCTATTTCACAGGTTGTTCGTGATGAAGTTGAAAGCGATATTAGACCAGCCAGTCTAGCCGATTGCAGACGTCATATTCTGGGAGTACATGCCAGGATCCCTCAAGAACTATTAACATTATGCTGCCAGGCGTCTCGCATTTCTAAAGAGTCTGGATATAAGCTCTATGCAGATACTTCTCTTTTGGCATTAGCTGAACAACACAAATTTCGAAGCACAAGAATTCAGAGTTATAGTCGTAAATCGGAAGGTGGAATATCTCCAATTAAACGTCCTTTAGAACCTATCATACCCAATGATATAGAAGGAATTTCAGAGTTATCTGTACCTACCAGTTCCGTCAATTCAGTTAATCAACGATCAAACACATCCTACTCGGGTATGGGTTTCAACCATTCTGCACCTAGTCAAGTAGCTCTACATCATTCGTCTTCATATTCCTCGAACCATCCTTTACCACCCATGTTGCGTGCTCCAACTGTTAAGTATGAACCAAGTGAACCAGATGAGTCACCACCCCCAGAGTATAACAGAGCCAATGGTAAAACATCATCTAATATGAACTCTACTAAGTCTCCAGAACTTAACCCTTACTCATTCGAAGAACGACATAACGGCCTGGATCTTGAAGCTCCTCGTCGCATACTTACTCCCGAAGAGTCGGTTACATGGAGCCAAAAGCTAGGTTTACCTGCTTCATGGGCTTTGGAAAGAATCGTTCGACTCTTGTATAGTCCTGCTGTTTTTGATCATCAAGTTAGATCTGTTCTACCTGATGGTGA